TTGCAGGTGTGCATCAGCACGTCTAGACAGCGTGGCCCTTTATTCCTAGTTGTTATGGTAACCAGAGACTATCTTACCGATCGCCAAGATGCCACCTTTCCTCTCATTGGCATCCGAGCTGGAAACCAACTCAAAAATGTGATGGTTCAGCTGATCATAGAAGCGAGTAGACTCCTCTTGACTCATCTGCAAAGAAGACACACTCAGAACAACTGCTAACGGGCCGGGGATATAGCTCAGCGGCGTAAGCGCCTACCTGACAAGGACAAGGCTCCAAATTCAATACCCGGTACCACAAAACAAAACGAACAAAAATCCCAACAAAGAACAACTGCTAACATCTCCCTGCTGGTGGTGGCAGTGGGCACCTCAGGATTAGGAACTGAGAGGCAGAAGATAGTACTAATCAAGGACAAAGCTACTGCCCGCTTCCATAGTTTCAAAGGGTACAGCAGCTAAACTCACAGCTCATCCACTTAAGAGCTATAATACAGGGGCCGGGGAGATGGCTCAGTGGAATAAGCGCTTCCCTGGCAAGCGCAAAAGCCTGAGTTCAATCCCCAGTTCCGCAAAAAAAAAAAAAAAAAAGGAGCTATAATACTTAGTGATTCTCTACTTCAGAGCAGACAAAGTGCTGTCCCATGCACTCCCTAGTACCATGGACACATGATGCACAGGGCAGTCTCTGCCCTCAAATCTACTTAGAAGAGCCCAGGATACCAGTCCTCCAAACCTAACCCCGTCACTGTTATCAGACAGAAAGATTTAGGAGGCTGGGGCACGGTGGAGACAAAAAGGGAAAAATTCAAAGAAACAGCTGAGTCTATACTGACTCTTAAAATGTGACCATTAGTGTAAGGGACACAGAAACATGGAGCCACTGCAAAGCAATCTGCACCTTCTACAGATGTGAGAAGATGTGTGCATTCTAAAAATAAAAGTTCTCACTTAGCTGAGTGATGGTGTGGTTAGCCCAAATGCCCCACAGTGACTGGCCCCAAATCACCCAAGCTCCACCTCTCGCAGCTCCATGGTGACATAGTGCTGGAGCTCCTTCGCGGCTTTGGCCCTGGTCTCCTCATTCCGGCTCTTCAGGCCACTGGCAAACTGCTGCAAGACGCTCACGTTGCTAGAGGTGGCTGCAGCTGCGGTGGCGGCAGCAGGTCCAGTTCCCAGCATCTTGCTTTGGGCTTCTTTGGAGAGAAGCTTTGTTTAATATTCCAGGTAACATATTACAGTGATAAATTTATAGCCCTAGATCCTCAACACCGATCTCTACTCATCTCAGGCAATTTTGTAAAAGCTGAGCGGTCTCATTGAGGAGCTCACAGGAAGTCTAGATTAATTTAGTGATGGAAGATGTTTAAAAGAGACAGAGAGCTAGACGGGGACAAACTGTGAGCTGGGAACTAGACACCTGGGTTTGAATATTCTACGGCTGCACACCTTGAGGAAGAGAAATAAAATTCCTTAGTTTGCTCAACTACAACAAGAAGATCCCAGTAACTCGGGAACTGAGGTGAGGGTGAAAGGAGCTGATAAACATTCGAAAATGTTTATGCACTAATGGGTCCATAGGAAGTTCTCAATCACTGTTAGCTGTTAATTACTGTAACTACCAGTATGTAACAGCACAGTGCCAGGTACCAGAGGGGGGAAGTAGGGAGAGAATTAAAAATGACTAAGACTGCTCCTTTCCTCCAGGAGCTCAATTTAAAGGGGAAGACTGTTATTCTTCAGCACTATCTAGTCTAGAAACGTAAACCACAGATATAATTCTAAATTTGTTTGGGCTGGGGATATAGCTCAATGACACAGTGCCTGCCCGGCAAGCATGAGGTTCTGAGTTCAAATCCCAGTACCAAAAAATTTAAATTTTCTAGTGGCCATATTCAAGAAGATAAAAAAAGGTGGTGCACGCCTATAATCCCAGCATTCAGGAGGCTAAGGCAGCGGGATGAAGTACAGCTTGGGCTACACAGTGAGTTCAAGGCCAGGATAGAACAGACCAACAACCTGTCTCAAAAACAACACAATCCCCAGTTCCACCAAAAAAAAAAAAAAAAAAATTAAAAAGGGCAAAATTAATATATTTTATTTGGCCCGTCCAGATAGCTCAGCAGACTGAAGCGCCTGCTTTGGCGGAGTGCAGCGGCTGGGGTTCAATCCCCAGAACACCATGCAAGCCCTGCCCCCAGAGCATATTGAGATGGTGATTGAGATAGGGCATGGTGGTACATGTCTATAATCCCAACACTTGGGAGGCTGAAAACAGGAGAATCACTATGAGTCCAATCTACGTAGTGAGACCCTGTCCTAAATTCATTAAAAAAAAAAAAAAAATATATATATATATACACACACACATATATATTCTTAAATTTAATCTAATATATCCAAAAGATTGTTTTCACACATATCAATTAAAAAATTATATACTGCCTTTTATTTTGGCAGTACTAGGGACTGAACTCAGGGCCTCACACAGGCTAGGCAAGCACTCTACCACTGAACTACATCCCAGCCTTTCATCAGATTGTTTTGATTTTGTGTCAGGGTCACACTGTGACCTAGGTTAGCCTTGAACTTGTGATCCCTTTGCCTCAGCCTTTTAGATAATTGGGATTAAAATAGGTGTGCACTCCCACACCCAGCTAGTGTGCACTTTATATCCATAGCAATCTCAGCTGGGATAAGTCCCACTTGAAATGCCCTACAGGCACAGGTGGCTGCGAGATACTGTTCTGGGCAATACAGCTGTTTTGAATAGTAGTAGGAAGTCAGTCTTCCGAGACATCTGTGGCTTCTGTACAAAATATTTTCTGTCAATGGAAAATATTTTGGAAAAAAAAAATCTTTGTATTGAACATATAGAGACTCATTATTTGCTAAATACAATTACTCACACAGCATTTACATAGCAGTAAGTATTCTAAATAATCTAGAGATGAGTTAAGGTATATAAGAAGACCTACATAGGTTATATGCAAGTTTTTAAGCCATTTTCTATGAGGGATTTAAGCACCTACAGGTTTTGGTATGGGAGGCAAGTCCTGGATTTGAGGGTGGTAGTGCTAGTTTTTGGAGGCAAGGTCTTGCTATATAGTTCAGGCTGGCCTCAAGCTCTCTACGTATCCAAGGCTGGCCTCAAACTTGCAGGGATCCTCTTGGCTCAGCCTCCCCAAGTTTTGGGATCACAGGCACGTGCCACAATGCCCAGCTAGAGTCCTGAAACAAGCCTTCCACGAAAACTATGGGATACTTGTACTTCAAATATGAGCCACGAAAAGACCAATTCGTTTCTGAGATCATTCACTTCCTAACCGTATTCTACTCCTTCCCTCAATGAGCTTATGAGACACAGGAAGTAGAAATAATCAGTCTACCACAATGAAGTGACCATAAAAGGGCTCAAATCACTCCGCAACATGTCCAGATCACACTACAAAACAAAACAAAAAGATTTCTCAAAACTTTTTACGAATGAATTCGTGCGACACTGGCATTAAACCAAGGTTTTGAGAAGCTTTAAATGACTCCAGTGATGAAAAAAACACTAGAAGGAAATGCTTCTTAGGGAGAGGAAACCTAGGGATTTCTGTAAGGAAAACTACCCTCGTGTAGGAGTCTAAAATAGCCATTTATCTCTTTCAGGCTGAATTCAATGCAAGCTCTGGAAGCCAAATATCCCGAGGGTGTTGGTAACAGCTTAAAGTTGGGTGGTTCAAACCAGGGTCGTGGGCGTGGACCACGCAGAAAAAGCGAACCCCAAGGATGGAGGCGAGCTCAGCGCCAGGCACGAGCTCTCGGAGGTCTCCAGGGTGGAGTGACACCCAGTGCGGCGCTGCTCAAGGCAGGTTCTACCATTTCTAGGTGGCCCCGATGTGTGCGTGCGACGGGGAAGGAGACCCCAAGGCGCCAAGGCAGTAGGGGCACTGAGGGGCCGGCCTCCAAGGCGCCCGGGTCGCACGGCCTCCTGGAGGGAGGAGGACCGGGAGGCTCCTGGGTTCCGGGGAGGTGGGCGTCGCCTCCAGAGTGGGCGTCAAGGGCTCCCTGTGCGCCCGGGTCGTGGGGCCGGTACTGAGGGGACTCCACGTTCCAGACCGGCGGCTTCCCCGAGGCCCCCCACCACGGACCAGGCTGGCTGTGAGTCTGGATATTCCTCCGCCTTGGAGGGGTCGGTGCCAGGTCCCAGACTCACCGCGCGGCTTCGGCCAACGCCTCAGCTGCCGCCGCCAGCGCCGTCACCACCACTTCAGGCCCCGGCCCCGCCACCCGCTTTCCCCGCTGCCCTCTAAGCCGGGCGGGAGGTAGGGCGGGCTTCCAGACCGGGGGACCAATCAGCGAATAGACTAAAAAGATGGACTGAAAAACAGACCAATAGTAATAAAGGAGAAGTGAAGCTCCAGGACCCGGCTTCTCTAGGGGGCGGGGACTGTTCAAATAGACAAACCATGCGGCCAGTGGCAGGCGAAAGGAGGTTTAGGCTCGCTCGGAAGAACCAATCAGTCCTGAGTTGACTTCAGTCACTTCCACGCACACATCCGGTGCATCGCTACTAGGATTCCCCTCTGTGTCTAGGCTGTTCGCGGTCTGGTACCTAAGAATGGGACCAAGAGCGGGATGTTCGTCGCGTCTACTGCTGAAGGAGCGCGCAATAGCGAACCGTGATTTCAGTTTTCTTTAATTTAGTATGCATCTGAAAATGGTTTGTTAGCCTTCCCCCAAATTAGCTCAGGATCTTATTTTCGAGAAACCACCGCCCAGTTTTAACTAAAAGAGCTATTTACAAATAAAACATTTAAAGTACCATCGCTTAAAAAAAAAATTCTTCCTCAAAATCAATAGCAAAATGGAATTTGGTTATGTCTCTTTAACAGTGCGACTGTTATAATAAACATTGGACTTTATTAAGTTTCCTTCATTAGTAATCCAAATAGAATATGATTTGGTCTTGGCCAGGGAGATAGCTCAGTAGAATAAGCGCCTGCCTGGCAAGCACAGGGTCCTGAGTTCAATCCCCGGTGCCGCAAAAATAAATAAATTTAAAAAATGAAACAGCAATAAGAATATGATTCAGTCTTATTAAGGAAAGTGTATGTAGCCAGTAACAACAATAATATAGGACAACATTTGCTAAGAAGAAAAAGTTTCCCAATTTATTAAAGAAGGAAAACGCTGAAAACTTTAAAAATACAAATATACAATAACGTAAGCATAATATAACCCTTTAAATATGTATATATTTATGTGTCTATTTAAATGGGAAAATACACAAAATATAATGAGATTTAGGGAAGGCATTTTTTTTTAAAACATTGTTATTGAGTTACTAATGAGTTACTCATACAATAAAAATAATGTTAAAAGTTTACAGGTCTAAATGTTATATTGAAGACGCTTCCTAATATTTGGTAGTGGCTAACAAAACAACTGATGTTTGTTTGCAGTAATGGGGACTGAACCCCAGCGTAGGTGAGCTACATCTCAGACTGGGTTTTGTTTTTTTTTTGTCTGGTTTAGTGTTTTGGTGGTACCAGGGATCAAACTCAGGACCTTGTGCTAGCCTAGCCAGGCAAGCACTTATTCCACTCAGCTATCTCCCCAGTCCCTGGTTTTTGTTTTGAGACAGGGTCTTGATAAATTGCTCATTGCTGGCTTCTACTTGCAGTCCTCCTCTCTCAGCCTCCCATCTAGCTGGGATTAGTCATGCTCCACCACACACACCACACACACACACACACACACACACACTCACACACACCTCTTGGGGCTTCAATATCTCTATCTCTACCTCTATCTGTATCTCTTTATTTTGTGGTATTGGGGTTTGAGCACAGAGCCTTGGTACTAAAATATATAACCCCAACTTTCTTAATTTTGTTTTATTTTGAGGCAGAATCTTATTTAATTGCTCAGACTAGGCTCCAACTTGTGATCCTCTTTGTTCACCCTCTCAGAATGCTGGGATTACATCCATGGGTCACCACATCTGGCTAACATTTTATTAATCATTAAATTTTTTCTAGGCCTGAAGTTTTAAGCTTGAGGACCAGGGTTAGACCCTGGACACTACAAAAAAATTTTATTTTTTT